AAAAAATATCGTTAACAAAAAATTATTAAATTTGCATCTGAAAGACCATATAGAATTACCGTCCAAATAATTTTGGGCTTGGTTAAATACGATATTCCAATCTTTTAATAACAACGCAAAACTATCAATATTGCTGTTTTGGTGCATCTTTAGGCATTTACAATTTGGTCACATTTTCGCAAAATACGCCAACAATTTGTTAAAATCTATAAATGTGAATCTATAATACAGCGAATTATAGTATATATTTGAGGACATTTAGAAAATAGTCCTTGTGTGAAAAAAATGAACTAACGGATAAACGAGCAACGGCATACATACATGTACCATTACGAATTATAGAGCGTATAGAAAGTTACCACATACCTATACAAGATTTGAAACAAACTGAAGATGAACATATAGGAAAAGTGCGGACGCATATTAGCGCCGAGTGATTTAACTTAAGATTCATGCTTGAATAAATACCAAAGAGATATAAATTAATTATTATTTTAATTGGCAAAATAAAGGCCACGGCTCACAAATTTATCAAACATTATCATCAATAAAGATGAAACATTATAGCATGATCATGAATCACAAATGATCAAAATTAACACATTAGCGTGGATCACTGTTGATCAGTTATAATATTAGAATGGATCACGATTGATCAATTAAAACCTTAGCATGGATCACGATTGATCAATTATAACATTAGCATGGATCAAGAATGATCAATTAGAACCATCTGTACAAAAAGAGCACTTTATCATTACTGTCCATTTATGAATACTGACATTGACTTTAAAAATACTGGCCCTGGGAACAGAAGCTCAGTAACGGATATTATAGTCCATTATGTGAACATGGTGCAAGATTGTTGGCGTTGTGTCGCTTTACCGCCAATCTTCTTCAGATAGTCCTTCAAAAAAATTAGTTGATTTTTAAGAGAATGAAAATGTTCATTGATCCAACGCTTCTGTGTCAAAATATTTCAACATTTGTCCATTAGTTAAGGTGTAGAAAGTTCAATTATAGAATAACGATCAAAATTTGAACGGAATATAGCTAATTAAATCTCTTCTTGGGTCATCTTGGAATTTCTACACTTGGTGAGCCATGACGAATCATCATACAACATTGGGTACACGGAAATAATATATGTCCATAAAAACCTGAAAAATAAATCAAAACAGCAGCAGTATATCGCCAAAATACACATTTTAAAATCAAGAGGTGGGAGGGTGGGTTTTTCCTTTAAATTTTTAACTTTTGCCTTATTTCGAAAAATTTTGCATGATTTCGCAAAGTTTTGTGTTATTTGGCAAACTTCACGAAATTTTACTCTTCGACACATAGTCATGGCATAATAATGAGTAAGAAATTACTACAACGACATTTGAATAAACTGAAGGAAACCAACGAGTTATAAAAAGCTATCTTGTCGTTAATGTAGCAAAATTTATAACTGATTTACAAGCTTCTGAAATAAGTGGAAGCATTTAAAATGCCTTGATCAAAGGTTTAACCGTTGATCAAGAAACTGTTCGATAAATTATGCTTATAAAAGAATCCTAAAGTGCTAGGGGAAAACGCATATGAAGGAGATTGAAATTGAATGGTAGAATGAACTTTAATACTGGACCAAATATAATAAGATAAGTGCTAGGTTTTGTTTTTACACCCGTCAAATACATATTATGGTATAACATAGTACGTCCGTCCGTTCGTCGACATTTAGTATCATCACTCAAATTTATGTGAACTTATCAAGAAACTGTTCGATAAATTATGCTTACAAAAGAATCTTAAAGTGCTAAAAACGCATAAGAAGGAGATTGAAATTGAATGGTAGAATGAACTTTAATACTGGACCTTATATTATATGATAAGTGTTTTTCTTCTGCTAGTTTTTTTTTACACCCGTCAATACATATTATAGTATAACATAGTACGTCTGTCCGTTAGTCATTATTTATTACATCCTAGCTCCTTGGTTCTGAGCCGGATCACCCCTGCCAGATCACCCTAGCTTGAGTTTCTTTGTTCTACATGCTTTCCTTTGTTCTGTAAACTGAATCACGGAACCTCCTCAGAACCAACCTTAATTTACGGTAAAAACAACAATACCTTGCCAGAACAAAATTTTCAAAGTAAATTGAATGTCGGTACCTACTCAGAACCAACCGTTATTTACAGTAAAAACAACAATACCTGGTCAAAACTAAGTTTTATAAGTAAACTTTATATTGGTACCGCCTCAGAACCAACCATTATTTACACTAAAAACAACAATACATTGTCAGATACAAATTTCTTAAGTTAATTTTATGTCGGTTACTCCTCAGAACTAATCGTTATTTACAGAAAAAACAAAAACAATACCTGGTCAGAACTAAATTTTCTAGGTAAATTTTATGTTGGTACCTCCCCAGAACCAATCTTATTTACAGTAAAAACAACCAAATTTTGTCAGAACTAAATTTTAAGTAAACTAAATGTCGGTACCTCCTCAGAACCAACCTTTATTTATAGTAAAAACAAACATACCTTGTCAGAACTAAATTTCCTAAGTAAACTTTATGTCGGTACCTCCTCAGAACCAACCTTCATTTACAGTAAAAAAAAACATGATACCTTGTCAGAATCAAATTTTCTAAGTAAACTTTATGTCAGTCCATCCTCAGAAACAGCCTTTATTTTCATTGAAAACAACCTTGTCAATACCAATATTTCTCGGTAAAGTTTATGTCGGTACCTCCTCAGAACCATCCTTAATTTACAGTGAAATCATTAATGCCTTGTCAAAACCAAATTTTAAATGTAACTTTTATGACTGTGCATTCTCAGAACCAGCCGATATATAGAGTTGAAACAACAATACCTTGTCAGAACTAAATTTTCTTAAGTAAATTTTATGTTGGTACCTCCTCAGAACCAACCTTTATTTACAGTAAAAACATTAATACCTTGTCAGAACCTTTGTTTAAGTAAACTTTATGTCGGTACCTCCTCAGAGCCAACCTTTTTTTACCATAAAAACAACAATACCTAATCAGATCTGATGTTCTAAGTAAACTAAGTGTCGGAACCTCCTCAGAACCAACCGTTATTTACAGTAAAAACAACAATAACTTGCCAGAACCATATTTTCAAAGTAAACTGAATGTCGGTGCATCCTCAGACCCAACCGTTATTTACAGTAAAAACAACAATTCCTTGTCAGAACAAATTTTTTTCAGTAAATTTTATGTCGCTACCTCCTCATAACCACCCTTTTTTTCAAGATAAAAAACCATACCTTGTCAGAACTAAATTTTTAAATGCAACTTTTATGACTGTACATTCTCAGAACCAGCCGTTATATACAGTTGAAACAACAATCCCTTCTCAGAAAAAATTATAAGTAAACCTTATGTCGATACTCCTCAGAACCAACCTTTATATACAGTAAACATCAATACCTTGCCAGAACTAAATTTTTCAAAGTAAACTGAATGTCGGTACCTCCTCAGAATCAACCTTTTTTTACAGTGAAAACAACAATACCTTTTCGTCAGAACAAAATTTTCTCAGTAAACTTTATGTCGGTACCTCCTCCAAACTAATCTTTATTTACAGTAAAAACAACAATACCTTGTCAGAACTAAATTTTCTAAGTAAACTTTATGTCAGTCCATCCTCAGAACCAGCCTTTATTTTCATTGAAAACAACCTTGTCAATACCAATATTTCTCGGTAAAGTTTATGTCGGTACCTCCTCAGAACCATCCTTAATTTACAGTGAAATCATTAATGCCTTGTCAAAACCAAATTTTAAATGTAACTTTTATGACTGTGCATTCTCAGAACCAGCCGATATATAGAGTTGAAACAACAATACCTTGTCAGAACTAAATTTTCTTAAGTAAATTTTATGTTGGTACCTCCTCAGAACCAACCTTTATTTACAGTAAAAACATTAATACCTTGTCAGAACCTTTGTTTAAGTAAACTTTATGTCGGTACCTCCTCAGAGCCAACCTTTTTTTTTACCATAAAAACAACAATATCTCATCAGATCTGATGTTCTAAGTAAACTAAGTGTCGGAACCTCCTCAGAACCAACCGTTATTTACAGTAAAAACAACAATAACTTGCCAGAACCATATTTTCAAAGTAAACTGAATGTCGGTGCATCCTCAGAACCAACCTTTATTTACAGTAAAAACAACCATACCTTGTCAGAACTAAATTTTGAATGTAACTTTTATAACTGTACATTCTCAGAACCAGCCGTTATATACAGTTGAAACAACAATCCCTTCTCAGAACAAATTTTACAAGTAAACTTTATCTCGGTACCTCCTCAGAACCAACCGTTATTTACAGTAAAAACAACAATACCTTGTCAGAACCAAATTTTCTCGTTAAACTTCATGTCGGTACCTCCTCAGAACCAACCTTTATTTACAGTAAAAAAATACAATACCTTGTCAGAACTAAATTTTTTCTAAGTAATTTAAATGTCGGTACCTCCTCAGAACCATCCGTTATTTACAGTAAAAACAACAATACTTTGTCAGAACTAAATTTTCTAAGTAAACTTTATGTTGGTACCTCCTCAGAACCAATCTTATTTACAATAAAACAACAATACCTTATCAGAACCAAATTTTTTAAGTAATTTTTATGTCTGTACCTCCAGACAACCATTCGTTATTTACAGTAAAAACAACAATACCTTGTCAGAACTAAATTTTCTAAGTAAATTTTATGTTGGTACCTCCCCAGAACCAAACTTTTTTTTACAATAAAAACAACCATGCCTTGTCAGAACTAACTCGAATAATTCAAGCCCTTACCGTCTCCGATTCTCTCCACCTTTCGAGGGCTTGAATTCTTTATGATCATTGGACGCGTCACCAGCCCTGTCGCTGAGAGGGCCCAATCAAATTGCAGGTCATTATAATTATGCATGATTTTGCGCAGAAGACACTTCCGTAGTTTCCGGTTATTGAATCCAAAACAAAAATATGGACATCTTTGAAGCTTTACAAGACTTAGAAGCCAAATATGACTTTATATTTAAAGAAAAACAAAAGCTCGCTATTACATCTATATTTGACTGTCAGGATACCTTTGTAGTTCTGCCAACTGGTTACGGCAAGTCCAAAATTTATTCACATTTGCCAGAATTGTACGAAATTGTAACCCACGTCAAAGGCACAGTGTTAGTTATATCACCAATTCAAGCCCTTATGATAGACCAGGTTACCAAACTTGAAAGCAATGGTGTTAGTGCTACATTCGTTGGAGAAAAGCAAACAGACAAAAGTATTCCGGCACGAATTATTGAGGGTGAATTCTCCATTGTGTTTTCCTCTCCTGAAGCAGTATTGAATAAAGGTCCATGGCGGAGATGTATTACACAAGGTGTATTCCATGAGAACTTGAAGGCAGTTGTTATAGATGAGGCTCACTGTATAACACAATGGTAATTTTTTGATATTATTATAATATGTGTATTGATCTACAGTTTTTTTTTTATTAAACTATGAAGGCAACAATTTTGTATGTCATAAAATGAATAAGGAGATGTGGCCATGATATATTTGCCAATGAGACAACAATAGCTATCCACCAAAATTCATATGATATGGATCCGATATTAGAAATTATAGACAACCGTACAGCTTTGAACAATTAGTAAATACCCATGCCCTATAGGCAGCCATAAAAGGCCCTCACAAGAAAAATATGTCAACTGAACAATTCAATTGAGAAAACTAATGACTAAATTTATAACAAAACAATTATGAAAAAACAAAAATGGCAGACATGTACTAACAACAACAACATAAAGTTTGTGTTGGGTTTCTGGGTTTAAACACGTTGGTGCCTGGGACACTGGTGTTATAGCACAATATGATTTAACAAATTTAAAATTTATTTTTAAAACTATAAAATTCCATTGAAAAAAAGTAATTTGTTCAGATAAAATACAGAATCAGATGTTGAGACCTTGTCAGACTTTAATAAAAAAATATGTGTACATAAACAATAATTAAAACGCTTTCCAATACATGTAGATTGGTTGTCTTAAAATGGAAAAAAGGAGATGTGTGTATGATTCAATTAATGCAGTAAGAAGAATGTCAGTCTATTTCTAAACATTATATTTTTCTTTTTTTGCTATTTTAGGGGTGGTGAATTTCGCAAGGAGTATAGTCATCTTGGAGAACTTCGATCTGTTGTGCCCAAAAAAACAACTTTTGTAACTTTAACAGCAACTGCAACAAGATCAATAAAGAAAGACATTATGAAAACACTTGATATGGACATCAAAAGAACAAGCATTATTTCCGTGATACCAGAAAGGCCAAATTTATCATATTATGTGCAAAAAAGTAGTAAGAATTTGGCAGATTTAGACTGGCTAATTAACGATCTACTTAAATTTGAAAAATCCACCAAAAAGACAATCATATATTGCAGAAATATTGTTTCTTGTTCCAATTTGTATGAGTATTTCAGACTATCATTAGATGACAGAAGTGAATCTCTAGATGATAGATTGATAGGAATGTTTCACCGTTCAACTGCTGATATCAATAAAAGTCATGTGCTTGATGAGTTTCAGAAACTTGACAGTTCTCTGCGTGTTGTTTTTGCTACCATTGCGTTTGGAATGGGTATAGACATTCCTGACATTGAGCGTGTCATTCACTGGGGAGGGCCACGAGGTCTAGAGCAATTCTCACAGGAAAGTGGCAGGGCAGGCAGAGATGGTCGTTCAGCCGTATCAGTTATTTACTTCAGTGGATATGACTTGGCTAAGGGAAACTGTTCAGAAGAAGTGCGAGAATTTTGTAAGACTGAAGACTGTTTAAGGAATACTTTGTGTGCATACTTTCAATTAGATACATTTGTACTAGTGGTTATAGCGTTATAAAGCCCGATCCTCCTTGTACATGCTGTAGTAACTGCAAATTAAAGTGTGTCTGTGGATTCTGTAGTGAAAGCCAATTTCTAGGTAGTGAATTAGATAACTCATCGGTTCTTGATGAGGACTTAAACACAGCTGGTATTAAAAGAGATCTTACTCTTGAACAACGACGATTACTTCGTGAAAACTTATTAGACTACAAAGAATGTCTTATTGAAGAAGAAAGTGAACTTTCAAGTGAGTTAGAGGACTTTGCTTTAGACCAGATTGTAAAAAATGCACCATATTTGTTATGTGAAGATGATGTCATATCTCTAGGACTTGTTAGCCCTGAGCTTGCTGCAGATATTTTAACACTTATTGATGAAGTCTAAGTACATACAGTGATTTAGGGCCATACTTACATGACTTATGTCAAAATATTGCATGAATTTTGTTGTAGAAATGCAACATACAACATGTACAATGTATTTTCAAAAACTCAACCAAGTTCTAAAAAGAATTTTTTTTTATCATGTACATCTACCTGTAGATGTTCAATTTTTAATGCTCAGATACATGTACATGTATGTACAACTGATCATGTGAGATCTCCGACATTAAGAAAAATACCGAGTTGATTAGTCATATTTTAAGTACAATGTATCATAAACATTTGTCATACATGTCCACATTGTCATGATTATCTGGTTTACTTTTGAAAATAAATAGAAATATTTTACAGTTATTTATTTGCACTGTCTTCTCATTGCCGACATTTGTTTTGTTTTGTGCATGTTTGTTTGATTGATACTAGCAAAATGTCCAATGATATACATGTACATAAATGCCTATTACATGTATTATTCAAGAGTATTAAGAAGTTGTCAATCAGTCCAGACATTACACATGCTACAGTAAGCTTCTACTGAGAACCTGAGATAACAGTTTTTATTTGATGTGCTTCAGAGTTTTTAGTTTTCTATGTTGTATTATGTTAGCTGCTGTTTGTCTTGATGTAATTTTTTATAATTTCTCAATGGCTTTATTAAAATATGATGTAGTATGATTGCCAATGAGAGAACTGTTGTTGGTTTTCCACCTTTTGAGTTGATTGTCCCTTTGTTATGTTTCTACTTTCTTTTCCACTAATGAAAGAAGCGGTATGGGCTTTGATCATTGTTGTAGGCTGACGGTGACCTATAGTTGTTAATTTCTGCGTCATTTCGTTTCTTTAGGAGAGTTGTCTCATTGGTAATCATACCACATCTTCTTTTTTATAGTTTCTTAAGTTTCAGTTATAGTACACCAACAAAGGTATGGAGAAAACCAACAGCCTAATTATTGTACAAAACTAGATATCATTGAGATGGGAGCCATCTCTGTGGGCCCCGCTGTGAATAATGTGTGGTCAAAAATTTGTATCTTTATCATTGGACATGGGGTTGTCAAATGAAACCAAAGTTTTTGACCTTGACCTTTGACCTAGGAAGTTGTACATAAATTATGACACACCCTTTGGTTTATATACATATCAAGTATAAACTTTGAAATCATAACGGTTCTCAAGATATAGAGCGGACACGATCTTTACCATAGGACATGGGGTTGTCAACTAAAACCAGAGCGGACAAGATTTGTTACGGACAGACGGATAGACTGATCACTATAGGGCGGCCACCATTCGGCGGGGCCCTAATAAGCATCAAAATCAACAGTGGAAAATTTAAACCAGCTTTACTCACGAGAACATCAACCATAACACAAAAGAACAACTAGTTTATTCATGCCCTTGATTACTGTATATTCAGAAATTAATGCTATTTTCAAGTATTTCAAAAGTAATCACATGATGAAAAATTTCAAATTTAGAATGTAATATTTTTTGTGCAGCTTTCCTGATCGATAATAATTTCTGAATTTACAGTTATTAAAAACTAAAAACCTGAAACTGACAAGAAGTATAAAGAATCAAAGCATTGGAAGTTGTATTCAATTTTTATTTCAGATCTGATTAGATCAAAATAAAAAGAAATATATCATAAATAAAACTAAGCACATACATGTACAAGGTTTTGTATGTGTAATCAATACACATGTATATATCTTGGGAGGCAACTGGTTCAATATTTATATTTAAAAGGATTTTTCTATAATGGAAAGGCCTTTACAAAATTTCTAAAATACCAAAGTTATATATACAAACACAAAGACTATTAAGATAAGATAATAATTTATTAAAGGGTAACCTGTTGATTGCCTCAAATTTAACATTATAAAAAATAACCATGTAAAATAACCATTATCCAGTCAAAAAAAAAGTATTAGATACTAAATCTAAACAAAAAAATTCAAATGTATCACTTAATATTAAACATGCCATCGAATTCATGATTTAAATTTCTATTCAAATAATAATTATTTTTTAGAAACTAGCTAAGCATTCCAAAATTCAGTGCCAATGTAACAATTAGATGGGGGAAAAAAATACATTAGTAGGTACAACTTACAACCTATCAAAATTCATCGTAATATTTCCATCTTTTAAGGGGAACATATACATGATATAAATGTTAAGAAAAACAAAAGCAGAACACATCAATATAAACAAGAAGCACACAAATATAAACAAGCACACATAAATATAAAAAAGAAGCACACATCAATATAAACAGACTCAGCACACGTCAATATGTACAAACAGAAACAGCACACATCAATATGTACAAACAAAAGCAGCACACATCAATACATCCAGACTCAGTACACGTCAATATGTACAAACAAAAGCAGCACACATCAATACATCCAGACTCAGCGCACGTCAATATGTACAAACAGAAACAGCACACATCAATATGTTCAAACAAAAGCAGCACACATCAATATATACATAGCACACATCAATACAAACAGATACAGCACACTTAAATATGTACAAAAAAGCTGCACATAAAATAATACAAACAGAAACAGCAAATATGTCAAACTCAAGCAGCTTGCATCAATAGAAACAAGTAGCACACTTCAACTAAAACACAAAAGCAGGACACATCAATACATTAAAAGCACAAAAAGCACATATGTACAAACAATAGCAGCACACATCATTATAAACAAGTAGCACACATCAACTTAAACACAAAAGCAGGACACATCAATACATTAAAAGCACTACTAAAATGAATAGAAAATTTGTGTAGCATGTACATGTATTTAAAAGCAAATATATTGTAATAGAACCAGAACAAAATTTTGAATTCATTGCTTTTCCAATAAAATATGAAAAAATAATAAAATATGTACAGTGAAATATGTAGCACCATTATACTATTTATACATCAAAGCACTGAATTTGTAATCAAAGTAAATAAGACCGTAGTCTTTGTGTCTTTGAAAATTCTTCTTTTTTGCTGGTGAGCCAAGAGTTTAATTTTTGTCCATCCAACTTGGTTAGGCAATTGGAGTTCATACAGTTAAATGTGCGGTGACATCTTCCTGGAATGACTTGAAAAAGTTCTTCTGGTTGTAAATGTTTTACAAGAATGTCAATATCTTTCTGGATTGATGGCTTGGTGTTCGAAGGCTTTCCAAAAAATTGGTTTAATCCTGTTGTATAGGAATCAATGATGTCATTGCAGCCTTGGAGACTTCTCCCGCACCTTTCAATAGATGAACCGGTCATGTTGCCTCTGAGAGAGTTTAAAGCATCTTTTGCCCTCATATTCATAAACTCAAGAGCAAGGTCTCCTGGAACGTTAGCTCCCTTTCCACCATGTATATTGACACTTCTGTTGTTTTTCAGTTGAAAGGCTTGTTTTGGAGGCAGTATTGCTAAAAGCTGGGCATGTAATTTAAAAGCTAGTAGTTTGTATTTAACATGATTGTTTAAAGCGAATTTTAAAATGTCAAATCGCCACATTCTAACTAAACGTTCACCATCATTTTCTCTCGCAGCATCTTCTCTACACCAGTCAAATAGCCCATCCCTTAACAAACTGCAGCTGTAATTGTGTTTAAAATCTTCCTTCTTTTCTTCAACCTCAATGGTGCTTTGGACATGTTGGTCAGTATCATTATCTGGCTGTAGAACACCTTCGAAGTCTTTATAATGACATCGAAACCTGTGCTTTGACCTACATTTCCCATCTACAGCGAAACTTTTCTTGCAGCCAGGATATCCACACACATATCTTCCTTCTTCTCGTGTATTGGTTTCTTTAAGTGTGTCTAAATCAAATTTTTCTGTAGTTATGTACTGGTCTACAATATCTTGGGAAAGTTTTTCCAAGAATTCCTTCTTTTGAGTGTCAGAAGTATGATTAAGGTCTTTAAATTTGTCTAACGAATCAAATCCTAACAACTGCATGGCTCCAAGAATTATATAGCCTCTTGTCACAAATCTTAAGAATTCTCGACAGTCATTTACTGCATCTTTCACCTATAAAGAATAAAAAATATTTAATTTTTTTTTTATGTTGAAATATAAAAATTACATTTTAATTAAAAGTTATACAATATACATCAACTTCATTTGTGCGAAGAGTTGTCTCATTAGCCAGCCATCATACCATATCTTTTTAATTTTTATACGTGCATATGACGTTCAACAGAAAAGAATCTTTATGAAGATTACATATATCAAAACCTGTTGTAAACGGTCATGTAACTACTTATGAAAATCATGAAACAATCTTCTCTGTATCAATACATTCCCACTTTGGCTGTAATTTTTGCAATGTTGGATAATTTACATTTTTTTTTCATGTTTGTTAATGGTTCACAAAACTTACATTTGTAAATGGAAAGAATATTATGTATATGTACATGTACCTCTGATTTAACACCTCTTCTATCAAACTTGTTTTTCAGTTGGAACAATGTTCCCATTTCACCAGATGATGATCCCTTGAAATGGAGGTTAAATGTATCCTGAAAATAATAATAAATATTTAGAACAAGTAAATTTATTTGTTAGGGGACGACCATTTGATATTCTGGGGGGGGCCAGGAGGATTTGTTTTGGATCGGTTATTTATTTTTGTAAACTAAGAGGACAGATTATCTATTTTCTGCACTATTGAAGCAAGATTTTTCATTTTCATCAAAGCAAGGGACTGATTATTTATTTTCACAACTATATTTATATTATTCGAAAACATACAATTTTTAAATTATTTGTTTATTATAAATAATTCATGTATAGTCAAGTCATTATGTACCATTTAATCAGAATTAATTTTTAACCTCTGCAGAAATGAATCTTCTATAATCCCCAATGCATATACATGTATTGCATACATACACAGTATTAAAGTTTGGTTGTAACTAAGGCTCTTTTAAAAGTATTGGCAAACATGTTTTTCGCCGAGCGGAGCGAGGGAAAATTTTTTTGAAGGGTTTTTGAACCGCTGAAGGCCCAAGAAGCTATAGAACAAATGATGCAAAATCATGCCTTCTGGGTGTTCCCCAGACCCTTTCTTAAACTGAAAATGCAAGTTCTGTTTTAATAATTTTATGACAATATTTTGGTCTCAAAGCAAAATCACGTTATAGATTCAGTGTAAGACTTAAGTTTCTAGGGACAACATCAAAAGACAAATATGCATGATAAAGCAAAAATGTAATTCACATAGTTAAGTCTGTGGCTGATGTGTTTTTTTAAACTCATGATCAAGTTAATAATAAAATTACTAAATTACAAAATGAATGCAACACTAACAGAATACAGAACATGCAGAAGGGCAATCAATGGACAAAACACAAATATATAAGAAACATTGATCCCGAAAAATCAGGGGCTACGTCTGAGGGAGAACAGAACTTGCTTCTTGCAAGGCACTCACGGTGAACACAATTTGATATGGAGACAAGCGTTTGGTTTTGAAATTTCCTACATGAGGCATTTGTCTCAATGTAGTTACGGCCCTGATTTAATAAAAGTGAGGTAAGTGTTCCTGAGACAATTAACCTCAAGTTAAATGAAACCAATTTTCTGACATTTCAAGTATATTTAAATAATATTTATACTTTTATTATTAAAAGATATGGGAAGTGTTTCCCGATTTTTTTTTATGGAAAAAAGATGAATTTATGAAGAATCTGGTGCCATCTCATACTTTCGATTAGACCTGCTGAGTTATTTATTTTCAATACATTGCAAGTCAGGTAATTTATTTTCAAACTACCACAGAACAAACCATTTATTTTTGTGATTATCAAGGCTGAGTTATTTATTTTCAAAATCCTCCTGGCCCCCCCAGAATATCAAATGGTCATCCCCTTACATGTATACATGTACATAATTGTTTATGCATTGTCTGAAAAAGAACAAATCAATTCATATGAAACATGTACATGTACAAATGTATGAATATTAATGTAGTGATCGATAGGGAGCGTAATATAACGACTGGATTATTCGGGTTATGTCAGAACTAAACTTTCTAAGTAAACTGAATGTCGGTACCTCCTCAGAACCAACCTTTATTTACAGTAAGAACTTCAATACCTTATCAGAACCAAATTTTGTCAGTAAAGTGAATGTCGGTACCTCCTCAGAACCAACCTTTTTTTTTACAGTAAAAACATCAATACCTTCTCAGAACCAAATTTATAATGTAACTTTTATGGCTGTACATTCTCAGAACCAGCCATTATATACAGTTGAAACAAAAATCCCTTCTTAGAACAAATTTTCAAAGTAAACTGAATGGATGTACCTCCTCAGAATCAACCGTTATTAACAGTTAAAACAACAATACCTTACCAGATCCAAATTTTTAAAGGAAACTGAATGTCGGTACCTCCCCAGAACCAACAGTTTTTTCACAGTAAAAACAACAATACCTGGTCAGAACTAAATTTTTTATGTAAACTTTATGTTGGTACCTTATCAGAACCAACCTTTATTTACAGTAAAAAAAAAAAATACCTTGTCAGAACCAAATTTTTAAACTAAATTTTTTGTCGGTACCTCCTCAGAACCAACCGTTATTAATAAAAATTTACAGTAAAAACAACAATACCTGGTCATAACTAAATTGTATATGTATACTTTATGTTACAGTACCTCCTCAGAACCAACCTTTATTTATAGTAAAAACAACCATATCTTGTCAGAACTCAATTTTGAATGTAAATTTTATGACTGTACATTCTCAGAACCAGCCGTTATATCATACAGTTGAAACAACAATCCCTTCTCTGAACAAATGTTCTCGGTAAACTTTATGTCGATACTTTCTCAGAACCAACCGTTATTTGCAGTAAAGCAACAATATCTTGTCAGAACCGAATTTATATAACTAAACTTTATGTCGGTACCTTCTCAGAACCAACCTTTATTTTTAGTAAAAACAATCATACCTTCATGCCCTTTTCAGAACTAAATTTTAAATGTAGCTTTTACGACTGTACATTCTCAGAACCAGCCGTTATATACAGTAAAAACAACCATACCTTGTCAGAACTCAATTTTGAATGTAAACTTTATGACTGTACATTCTCAGAACCAGCCGTTATATACAGTAAAAACAACCATACCTTGTCAGAACTCAATTTTGAATGTAAATTTTATGACTGTACATTCTCAGAACCAGCCTTTATATCATACAGTTGAAACAACAATCCCTTCTCAGAACAAATATTCTCGGTAAACTTTATGTCGGTACTTTCTCAGAACCAACCGTTATTTGCAGTAAAGCAACAATACCTTGTCAGAACCGAAATTAAACTTTATATCGGTACCTCCTCAGAACCAACTTTATTTACAGTAAAAACAATCATACCTTCATGACCTTGTCAGAACTTAATTTTAAATGTAACTTTTCTGACTGTACATTCTCAGAACCAGCCGTTATATAGAGTAAAAACAACCATACCTTGTCAGAACTCAATTTTGAATGTAAATTTTATGTCGGACTGTACATTCTCAGAACCAGCCGTTATATCATACAGTTGAAACAACAATCCCTTCTCAGAACAAATGTTCTCGGTAAACTTTATGTCGATACTTTCTCAGAACCAACCGTTATTTACAGTAAAAACAACAGTACCTTGTCAGAACCGAATTTATATAACTAAACTTTATATCGGTATCTCCTCAGAACCAACCTTTATTTACAGAAAAACAACCATTCCTGGTCAGAACTAAATTTTCTGAGTAAACTGAATGTTGGTACCGACTATAGGACGGTACCTCCTCAGAACCAACCGTTATTTACAGTAAAACAACAATAAATTATCCGAACTAAATTTCCTAGGTAAACTTTAGGCCGGTACATTCTCAGAACCAACCGTTATTTACAGTACAAACACCAATACCTTGTCAGAACTAAATTATCTATGTAGACTCTAGGTCGGTTCCTCCTCACAACCAATCGTTATTTACAGTAAAAACAACAAAACTTTGTCAGAACCGATTTTTTTATCGACTTTAGGTCGTTACCTCCTCAGAACCATTTTGTTTATTTGAGACACGAAACGTACCATGCTCAGTACCAACCATTATATACATTAAATTCAACTGTATATACCTTGCAAGAACCAACTTTTGTACTTTTTTAGGATCTCAATGAAAATGAATGGGGAATGTGTCTATGGGACACAGATGATGCCCCCGGCCCGCTTGTATATAGATCTCAAAAACAGTCAAAGTGACGCTACCCAATTTCGTACTTGATCAGAGTTTTGTGGTAATAAGCATTATGTATAAGTTTCATAACATTTGGTTGAGGCAAACTTAAGTTGGAGAACGGAAACGAAAATTTTAACAATTTTCCATTTGTAAAGGGCATAACTCTAGAAAGGTAAAAGTGACGCCACCCAAATTCAATCTTGATCTGTGTTTTGTGGTAATAAGCATTGTGTATAAGTTTCATAACATTTGGTTGGGGGCAAACTAAAGTTAGAAAGCTACTATTTGATTTTTATGGGGGGGGGGGGGGGGGGATTTTTTATTAGTTTATCCTGACATTTTTTACATAAATTGTCATCCTGCCTTTTTTTGCCAAGTTGCTCACCCTGCCTATTTTTTTTACTCAAAACTCTTGTCCTGCCTTCTTTCTTCAAATTTCATCCTACCCCCCCCCCCCCCCCCCCCCCATACAAATCAAATGGTAGCTCCCTAATAATATAAGTCAAATCCAATCATTATTTACAGTAAATTATACACCCTGTAAGAACCTACTTCTGTATTTAAAATATAGGACGAAACCTCCTTAGAACCAACTAATATTTCTGGTAATTCAACAAAACCTTCTCAGAACCAAATTGTCTTCATTATTAAAAATTGTTACCTCCTTATAATCAACCATTTTTTTACTTATTTTTGAAGTGAAAATTCAGCGGTTGCGATGCTCTATTATATTGTCAGTTTTCACATACTCATTTTTCAAGTTATGTAATGAGTTAATGAAAAAATATTTTAATTGT